GTTTTGTTTCAGAGCCCGTTAAAGAGAACAGCGTTAAGGGTTGCCTCACTGGAGGTCCATGCAATTCAGTGATTTGTCTCTGAGGGGGTTACTAAGTGATACTTCAAAGAGAAGTTCTGATACCCCCAAATTATTTGGAGTTGGCAAGCTAATACTCTGATAATCGATTAGGCTCCCCTTTGCCCATCCTCTACCCCATTTCCTGTTCCACAGCTTCTCTGTGGTATCGTTTTCATTCTGCCTAATATTCTGGGGGTGGAGGGTGAAATAGTTACTGTTCTAGCAATGGACATTTGAGGAGTGAGTCTCCACTGCCATTCCAGATTCATTTTTACTTCTCTGATTCGATCTTCAGGAGCCGTAAATATATACAGTGTGCCTGTATGGTATTTTGAACATTTCCTTTACTGTTTAAAACAACTGCCTGAATGATATCCATAGTGCTCTTGGTTTGGGGTAGTCACTAGTAAGTTCAGACCTATATTTGGAGGGAAGGATTAATAATTTTTCAGATATTTATGAAACACATTAGTAAAGTGTACTGTCCTTAGGAGCATAGCTGATGGTAAATAGGCTTCTAAAATAAACTGGCTTGGTATTTCAGCTCCCCTGGGAAACAGGACTGCACTGTGGAAAGAGCTTGGACTTGGGAGCAGGCAGAAATCCCATTTCAGCCACCAGCTGTCTGACACCTGATCAATTTACCTGACTTCTCTGGGCCCTCATGTATTTTTGTTCCTATGAACTTAAAATCTGGAAGTGTTGGATAATTAAAGGAGTGAAACCCACTAGCACATATATGCTTCAATGTTTCTCTGCCTCCCTTTTTTTTATGTAAACGCACATACCAAAATGTCGCTCGTGCCAGTCATTGTACTAAAAAAAACTTCACGTCATTTAATCTACATAAAGCAAGCCCCAAAACTCACAATCCCACTTTATTTCTGAAAGCACTGTGTAGTGAAGAAAGCCTGAGAGACTGTTCTACTAAATTGATTTCTAATTGAGGATTTCCCTGTCTTCCTGAATGTAATTCCACTTTATTTAACAGCAAAGGAAATTATCAATGGTCGGTTTTTGTGAATGTATTGACTCACTTCCACTTACCACATAGTACAGACGGGAGGGGGAGAACTAGGAAGTGAGTGAGGGAACCTTTGTGCAGCCAGTTCTGATGCTTTGCTTCCGGGGGGGGGGGGGGTTCTGGAGGGACCAGAAAGTCCTGACGGACTAACTGGCGTTGTTTGTGACTCGATGATAAGTGGCATTAAGTGGAACCATGGAACACTGCATTTCCTTCCCGTTCGATTTTCCTTCACCTGCATCTCTTGCAGCCGTGTCTCTAAAGGCTCCAAGTACACTTTCCCTTTCGCAGTGAGATGCATGCTCAGAGTTGGTATATGGAGGAGTTTGGTCTCGGGACCCTCTTTACAGCCTTGAAAATTATTAAGGACCCCAAAGAGCTTTTGTTTACATGGGTCATATCTATTGGTATTTACTGTATTCGAAATAACTGGAAAACTTTATAATTAATTGATTTTACAGTAACCCATTACCTATCAAATTACAATTTTATAAAAAACTTTTCCAGAATAGAAATTTGTGAAAAGAGCAGCATTGTTTTTACATTTCTGAAAATCTCTTCGTTACCCGGCTGAGTAAAATGCAGATTCTCTTATCAGCGTCTGCATTCATTCCATTTTGCCATGTTGTGTGGAAGTATGTGCAGGAAGTCCAGTCACAGGGATACATGGTTGCAAAGGTTAGAACCTTGCAGTTTTCGTGAAGGGGTCTCAGGCTCCCCAGTGATGTTCAGGCCCCACTTGGGGAATTGCTGCTATCACCAATGAACAGATTATTGCCTAGTTACTCTGTACCCACTGGCTTGTTTTATTCTGTTTATGAGGTGATCTTTGTGAAGTACAAAGAATTTAGTTCTCCCTTTCACTTCAGTTAAAACCTGAAGGCCTGTCACATGAAATTGCTCTCTGGATACTGAATATTAAAAATTAGCCCTGTCTGGTCTCAGTGGATTGAGCACCAGTCTGAACCCAAGGGTTGCCAGTTCAATTCCCAGTCAGGGCACATACCTGGGTTGCGGGGCCAGGTCCCCCTAGTTGGGGGAGCGCAAGCAACTGATTGATGTTTCACACATCGACAATTCTCCTTCCCTTCCTTTCCCCTCTATAAAAAACTAAATAAAATCTTTTTTTAATTGATGACACCATAGCTTTTGCTCAGTCTTTAAGATTATTTCCTCTGATAAACAGTACATAATTACTAGTTTTTATAATTATGAAGAAGCACATTTCTTACTTTGGATTTTTTGGAAAAGCTTAGCCTGAAAGATTGGGTGTTGAGAGCTTGGTAAACCTCCTGTTCTGTCCTTTGAGAAGCAGGAGTAAGATGGGTCAAACCTGAAGATGTCTGACTTGTTTGCAAGGGGGCCTGGCCACCTCGTGTACTGTGTTCTCTGGCAAACACTTCCCAGGGGGCATGGCTGTAGAAAGTGTGTCCACATTCATCAAGTTCCTGGTCAGTCCCAGACGCATTTGATCCCAACACTGGAGGAATCCAGCAGAGTCTCCCTCATTCCATGAAATGGCAGTAGCAAGCTCTGCTGGGCTCCTCACATCCATCAGCTCCCTCCCTTGTTTTATAACCCAGGAAACTAGGCCCTCCCTCTGACAGACACAGAACAGACAAGTCCGATAGAGACAGCCAGAGTGGCTCTGAGGAGACAGTTCATTAGCCAACCACCATCGTCAGCCCTCAGTCAGAATGTTTGGCTGAGTTCTTACTATGGAAGAGGAAGGGAATTTCAGGCGGAATCCCTTCTCATCCGGGAGGAGCTTCGCTTTGGAAACGTGCGTGTCATAGGCACAGAACCAACTTTTGTTAATGAATGAGAGACATTGAAGATGAGATGTTTTGTGTCTGGTAACTCATATACCAGTTTCATTAAACTACATTTCATAAAATGCAGCTAAAATATTAGGTTGTAAACTGGCTTCCAGTATTCCTAGATTTTTTTAACGGCATTTTCACTTTTCAGTCATCAAAAGTTACATCAAGGAAAGCAATGCTAAAACAGCATGATAAGAAATGTAGAAAATCCGAACCCTCCCAGCTAGGGAATGGAAGTACCCAGGGCAATGGGCTACGAAACCAGAGGACACTGCCCACAATTTCTTCCCTGTGTTTACTCACCCCCTTACGGGCCCACTGCCTGCACTGCCTCAGGTCAGTTAACTCGCCACACCACCTGCAATGGGCCCACACAATCAACGTTGGGAGTGTGTGCGCGTGTAAGCGTTCTGAAGATGACTGAGTTGCTGTTAACACAAACCAGAGAGGCCTAATCTAGACAGGGTAGCTCAGGAAGGCCTCTCTCAGACCAGAGCTGCTGTGCAGAGACCTGAAGGATGAAGAGGAGCCAGCCAGCTGACCTGTGTGCCTTGAGTTTGGCGGGTGTGGGTGGAGCTCAGTGTGAAAGGGGTAAGGACTGTGGCCAGGTGATGGTAACACACTTGGTGTCTAGGGTACTGAGGTAGGCAATTAATTCACTCTCCCCAAAGTTCCTCAGGGCGGGGGGGGGGGGGGGGCGACTACAACCACCAGGGACCGTATGTTCCGAAGGCTCCATTTGCTTTCATGGCCACGGCTGTCATAGACTCCCCTTAAAAAAGTTGAATTGGACTTTAAAAAACTTGAATGGAAAGTTGTATGAAGATTATTATTTAACTGTCAATAATTAACACTGAAGTACATTAACAGTTCATTTATATATGAAAGATACTAATTTTTTTATATCTAAGGGGCCACTTACAAGTAAGAATGGAGTGTTTCAAACAGGGCTAACATGAACTTGCACACTGTCGTTCACAGACAGGGCGGCCTCACACTCGGTTCCTTCCAGACCCCATAGCAGCCCTCAGCCAAGGAGACGGCTCCACAAGATGGAAGCAGCTGAACCCAGGTCTCCTGGGGCAGGCCTTTGAGACCCAAATCCAGTGTCATCCCACCGCCCCTCATTGTTCCCCTACTAATACTGCAGACCCTTTAATTTAAAGACTGTACCTGCCACTCAGATAAATTGTCACTTTCTTTCGCGTATCCCTGATCTCTGACCATGTTTTCCCAGATGCCGTGTAACACTCCACACAGTAGACAACTAATGAATAGTTTCTAAACATGTTTTTAAGGAAGCACTGAATGTTTATAGAATCTATTTACATTTTCTAAAGGCCGCCAATAGGAGATGAGCCACAGAGCAAATAAAAGCTGATCTCTTCTGAAGAGTAACCCTTTTGTTTGTTTTGTAGAAATGGTGATATAACTTAGAATAAGATGTGAACCAAATCCCAAAAGCAGAACAATTTCAGCCGCTTTGGAACAGGATAACACAAAGGCTACTGACGGCATGTTAAGAGCAAGCCGCAGGCAAGGCGGGCAGCCTTGGATGGCTTGCTTAAGGCCTCCACTTCCCAAAGTGCACGCAATGCTGTCTAAAAATTGGGTGCTCTCTGCAACTTTTCGTTTGAATCTGTGATTCTTGCATTTGAGAAACACATATTAGATGCCCAGCCACCAATAAAAATAGAAATGGAATTTCTACGTTTAAGTTGTTCTCAAGGAAGTATTTGAATTGGTATCTTTCTAATGGATTGTAAAGGGCATTTAGAAATACCTGGAAGTTTGAAAACCCTAGTCTGACTGCCAATAGTTAAAACTCTGTTATTTTTGATAGGGAAAAAATACTAACTTTAATGAAAAATATAAGATGAAGTTTGAGGCATAAGTTACACAACCAACTCTTCAAGTCATTTTTATAGGAAAGTGATAAGATTAGATAAAAGAAATATTAAAGTATTTTTCCTTTTAATTAATTTACTAGGTTTATCAGTGTTATCCTTTGGATCTAATTCCTATGATGAACCAAGGAAAGAGTATTATAGCTGAAAAATTTTCAGTTAAGAACTCTTCACACACCTTCAATTCCTTCAACATGGAAGTAAGTCATGTGTACATACATTTGCGATACACACACTACCTGTCTATATGAATATATAATAAAGGTTGGCTCTTAAATACTGTCTCTTTACCAAATTTTTAGATGTCCCAAGAGTTCTAAGATTTAAATGATAAAAAGGGTGCCATAAGGTACTGCTTTAGTAATTAACTGGTTCTTTAATAAGGCCTCAATTACTTTGTTTCATGATAAGGAAAAAAAAATGTTCCAAGACAGAGTTACATTCGACATCTGGAAACCTCCTAACAGCTGGCCACCTAATGAATATGCATCTGCTTAAGAAGCTGTAGACCATTAATAAACCAATAGATGTAAAGCAGAAATGATCTTCGTCAGCTTCAAATGAGATTGGATGCAATGTGCTGTGAAGTGTCACTGTCACATTGAATCGAGTTTGGGAGGTTGACAACAACTGTTATCTACTGTGTCTTTGTAGCTCTACACTGCGCTGACACTTTCCAAGTGGGCGGCCACATACGTGAAGTACAACTTTCTCCCGATCACCTTAACTGAGGCTTACAGCGTACGAGTTTCAGAATGTCTTCTGTTTTGTTCCACTAAACCGTAGTTTGCCAAGACTCTTTAAAACAAAGACGTCATCTCCAGGTGGGAAAGGCAGGAAATAGGATCAAATCAGTACAAAATGAACCTCTAGTGAATGGGAAAACATTTAAAATGAAACTTCTATGTGTCTGCAGGTAGCTTGGGAACTGTGGGGTCCTTCTGAGGGAACCCTCACTCCCCGTGCAGGCAGCCATTCAGGTGTTGATAACTGGTCCACGTGAGACCCTGGAGGAAGTAGGACGCAGGGTCCTTGATCAGACTCCATATTCTCCCCTGGGCATCATCGAAGAGAAGCTCAAGTGCAACCTCAGACTTGACTCTTCAGTTGTATTCCCATGCACACCATGGGGATACATTTTTTTAAAAAATGGGAATTAAGTCCCACCCACTCCCCACAACAGAAAAGTAATTTTCTTTCTTTTCTCTCTCTCTCTTTTTAAACAAATATGGTGTTCTATCACAAGCTGAGAATTATGGTTGTTTTTGAAAAAACCCTTAGCATCAAGTATATATTTAATACCCTGTAATCTCAGCTGTGTCACTACTTTATTAAATAAAACACCACCTTGGATTCCTACACAGAGATTATCACCTTATTTGTGGGGATGTAAAACCCATTATCCCCCAGAACCATACAAAAATTACCAACACAGCTGCCACCTCATCTAACATCAGAGAAGGCAGACTGAAAACCCAAAACTTCACATGACCGGTCGGCTCGGTGATGGAGGCAGTGGTTTGTAGACGAGCACCGGCTGTGTCGTGTGTGCGTGTAAACACGACCATGCCGCACTCCACAGTCGGTAGGAAACCAGCCATACACTGGGGTGTGCAATCATACACCCCGACCCTGACTGTTCAGGGAAGTACTGGGCGGACGCCAATGCCGCACTCACGCAGGCACTGTCAGGCAGATGCAACCAGATTTGTATCATTTTGAGTACAAGTATGATGAAAAATAAAATTTTTAAGAAAACAATTCTTAAGAAATTTTTAAGAAAAAAATGCATCTCGTTTATACATTTGCACACTTTAGATGCTAGAAAATAAGCGGCTTAAACCAAGTATGTAAATAATAATATTCATTTACCCCTCATAACAACTTCCTTTTGTTATTCAATGCTCTCTTTTTCCCTTTACCTTACCCCTTTCTAAAACTATTCGGGGAAGATGATAGGTTCAGTTGGGAGTGCAATCTGAGACGATGGTGTTTTTCTCTGTCAAGGTTACACGGAACATTTTTATTATGTGGCAAGTATGGGTGGGTCCCAGGCCCCAGACGGGGGGTTCTTCCCTGGGCTTCCTGGGAGGGGTACATCCCCAGAACTCAGCCATCGGTGCTGAGGCCCATAAACTTCTTCAGTAATGTTAAGTCATTACTTAAATTCCTATCGGTTGTTGCTTCATAGTTCCCTATTTAAAGGATTTTTAGTTCACTGTTGGATGGTAAAAACACACTTCAGAACTTTTGAAAAGGTGGCTGTACTGATTTCTATTCCCACCAACAGTGTGCGAGGGGTTCCTTTTCTCTACTGGTACTGTCCTCGCCAACACTTCGCTGTCTCGTCTTTTTTAATAATAGCCATTCCAACAGGTGTGAGGCAATATCTCACTGTGATTTTTATAAATTTAATAATTGCCTGCTAATTTCTATATACGGTGAGTCTGGCATTCCATTTACGTAATATACAGGATCTTTGCAAACATATGAATTTAAATGAAATTGAGAAAATTCAAAGAAAAGCACTTCTGAAGTCCCCATGCGACGGCACTCCAATGAGCCAGGATCGCCATGGTGGCACGAGAAAGGCAGCCCTGGGGACGCGCTGGCGTCCGAGGTGACTGCGCATCTCTTTGAAAGCTTGGACCAGTGATCCCTAGAGAAGCTCTGGGGAAGATCCAAGGCCAGAGTGTTCTGTTCCATGCATTCTGCATCCAGATGCTTATGCAATTAATGCCCCCAAATGTTCTTAAGATGCCCCTAGCAGTAGATCCATTCCCCATCAACACAGTGAATTCCTGCAAGATACCCGGTTTCGCTCAGGTTACCTCACTTGCCCAGAGCAGTGGTCTTCCACAGTTGTCCCACACGGGTGAGAGAACACCAGAGGGTCCGCGGCAGCACGACAAGGGTGGAAAATCTATTTGTATTCATTTTATCTGAAATACAGAAAAGTGAGTTTACTAATGATTAGTATACTCATATACAGTGACTGTGGAATAGATACTAATTTTATAAATATATACATTTGTGGCAGGACCCTAAACACCATGTTATGCATAAGATGTCAATCAGAGAGGTTTGGTTACTACCAGGTGTGAGAAAGGAGTGGCTAAGTCCCGGCACACGCACTGCTGGTGTGTCCGCGACTGTGTCCTCTGGGCACACTTGTTCTCGCTCACCCTATCTGTCCCTGAAAGAGGGCAGAAGACTCTGCAGCGTCCACTCTCGAGTAAAAGATGCGTGACCCACGGGACACCCTCACACGTGGAGGCTCACAGGCTGTTTTTTCACAGTCCTTTGCAGGCCTGGAAACCCAACCATCTCATTCCAGTTCCAACTTTTAAACAGGAAAGAAGAGACTTCCGCCAAGATGGAGGTATAGGTGGATGTGCCGTGCCTTCTCACACAACCAAGTTTAGGGACAACTAAATATTAGCATCAGAAAACACAACCAGAACACGGAAAATTGAACTTTTCGGAAGTCCGTTAACAACAAATTCTTCAGCCCGACCGGTAAGGGGCGAAACCGGCGACTCGTGAGGGGTTGCATAGGAGGACTCCGGTCGGACGGACCCAGGCGCGGAATCCAGACGCGCGAATCCAGATGCACGGGTTCCAAACCCAGGATTGGACCTAGTGAGCGACCGAGCAACCCACCGGGTGAGCGACTGCTGAGGAGACAGTGGGGAGGCGGTGCTGCATGTTGACTGCGGGCGAGCGGACAGGCGAGGGAGTGGGCGGTTGGACCGGGGCCGGCGGTCCCCGTGGCTTGCGGCAGTAGAGGGCGCCGCCATTTCCCCGCTCTGACCACGCCCCCACATACAGCGTCACAACCCAGCGACCTGGGAGTCCAAGGCGGCGCTTCTCACATTTAAAGGGCCAGAACAGACGAAAAATGTCGCAGGAAGACCTCAAAGCCCCAGAGATAAATCTAAGCGACGAAGAATAGCAAAACTCTCAGACGCACAGTTTAAAACACTGGTCATCAGGTTCCTCACAGATCTGGTTGATTATAGCCACAAATTAGAGAAACATATGAAGGCTAAACTAAGGGAAATGAATGGAATTCCACAGGAAACCCATAGAGATGAAAAGGAAACTGGGACTCAAATCAATGGAGTGGACCAGAAGAAAGCAAATAATGGCCAAACAGAAAAGAGTCAAGGAGCAAGAATTCAAAGAAATGAGGAGAGTCTCAGGAACCTCCAGGACATCTTTAAACGCTCCAATATCCGAATTATAGGGGTACCAGAAGGGGTAAAGACACAACCACCAGTGGAAAAATTATTTGAACAAATAATAAAAGAAAATTTCCCCAATCTGGCAAAGGAAATAGACTTCCAAGAAATCCAAGAAGCTCAGAGAGTACCAAAAAAAGTTGGACTCAAGAAGAAACACACCAAGGCATATCATAATTACATTAGCCAAAATTAAAATGAAGGAGAGAATCCTAGAAGCAGCAAGAGCTAAGGGGACAATCACCTACAAAGGAGTCCCCATCAGACTGTCAGCAGATTTCTCAAAAGAGACCTTACAGGCAAGAAGGGGCTGGAAAGAAATATTCCAAGTCATGAAATCTAAAGACCTACAACCAAGATTGCTCTATCCAGCAAAACTTTTCATTTAGAATGGAAGGACAGATAAGGTGCTTCTCAGATAAGATCAAATTCAAGGAGTTCATCATCACCAAGCCCTTATTATATGAAATGTTAAAGGGACTTATCTAAGAAAAAGAAGTTAAAGAAACATGAACAGTGAAAGAACAACAAGCTCAAAGTTATTAACAACCACACCTAAAACGAAAGCAAACTAAAAGAACAGCTAGATCAGGAGTGGAAATATAGAAATGAAGATCTCAAGGAGGGTTAGCAACAGGGGAGTGGGAGGAGGAGATGGGGGGAGAAGGTACAGAAAATAAGTAGCATAGACAGTAGATAGAAAATAGATGGGGGGGGCAAGAAAAGCATGGGAAATATAGAACCTAAAGGACTTGAGACACATGGACATAAACTAAAGGGGGGTAATGGTGGGGATGGGGGGGCAGGGTGGAGGGGAATGAGGGGGGAATAGAACAACTGTAACAGCATAATCAATTAAAAATAAATAAATTTAAAAAAAAAAGAAAAAAATAAAAATAAACAGGAAAGAAGACCCAGGCCACAAATGGACTGTAGCCCAAATTTTTTAGCATTTTTTAATTTTTTCCAGAAAAAATAGTTTACAATGATACATTTTCTTAGAAAAGATCTACTTAATACTCAACATGGCAGAAATAGACATGTGCAATGACAATTTACAGATTTTAATGTCGTTACAATGCTAGTGATTAAATGGAACAAAAATTGAATAGAAATTTATTTTGAACAGTGTGGTAGTTACAGAAAGCCACAAGAATAAGAAATAGAGACTTCTGTGAAGACTTTTTTTAAATGAATCTTTTTTTTTAAGATTTTATTTATTTATCTTTAGAGGGGAAGGAGAGAGGGAGAGAAACATCAATGTATGGTTGCGTCCAATGTGTCCCCTGCTGGGAACTGGCCTGCAACCCAGGCATGTGCCCTGACTGGGAATCAAACCGTGATCCTCTGGTTCTCAGGCCCGTGCTCAATCCACTGGGCTACACCAGCCAGGGCTCTGTAAAGACTTTTAAAAAAACCTAGTCTGCTTTGAGGACATAAAAGATGCATAGAACTCGCTTTTCCTTGTTCGTGTTCACTGCAAAACTCACGGGTCTTCTCTTCCTTAATACTCGGGTACCACTAGCACACCCCTTTCATTTACATTCCTGACCGAGACCCACTGTGGGTGGTGGAACTCCACCCCCAAAGCAGTTACCATTAGTATATGGGTCTGCTTATATTGAATCTTTTCTTGTCTCGGTTGAGATGAGATGAAATGAGATCAGGCATGTTCAGGGAGGTATAGCCATAGACATCTCGTCTCATTTGAAAAGAGTGTTCTTAAGACACCTCTCAGAGATAATTCAGTTGAAGCTGGGAGTTGGGTATATATTGAGACCCATGGATATTAAAAAAAAAGTCCCAGCAGTCCACCAGGTAAGGGGCCCAGGAAGAGAGGGCCACATTTTGCTGGACCACTGCTTGTTTGACAATTGACAGATTATGGAGGCCCTTTCTGATGTTTCCTGTTAGGGAGAATATTTTCCCCCCACATATTCGAGCAGCACCACCTCAGGTTTCTTGGTGGGGTCAGGTTGCTCTTCCCAGAGAATTTAGCATCCATGGGACAACGTGGACATTTTATGAATATTTTAAAGTTTCTTCAGCACATCATGGAGGTGCTACCGCAGATGAAATACATACAACACAGCTGTACCCACTTGCAGAGCATGGCAGTGGCAGGAAGACGCAGCAACAAGAAACAGCAGCCTCTGCAGTTCTGAACCTGCCAACACACACACGAACAACCAGGTGCACACAAGTCCATACCGGAGTCTGCAGAAAAGTGGCCGTGCTTGCAAAAGAATGATGATGATGATGGCGACATCGCGATGCTGCCCGCCATGTTCCCTCAGTCTCTCCCTTGCCTGCCACTCTCACCCCCATCCCGCCTCCCTGTCTCTCTCCCTAGTTGCCTTCCCCAGTCACCTCCGCTAACTTCAAAGGACACACAGCAGACACAACTGATGATGACACTGGGGGGAGAACAACCTCTACGTTGCTCAAGACCCTCCCACCCATTTGCAAACGTCACTTTCCTCTGAGAGGCCTTCCCCAGTGACAGTCACAAAAGCTGCCTCAGTCCCCTTCCGCCACAGACTTCCATTCTCCTGTTTGAGTTTTTTCATGGCACTCTGCACTGCCTAAAGCTAGTGCTTATGTTTTGTTTCTTTGCGATGTATGGTTTTTGTCCCTCTTCCCCAGTCACATGTAAACACCAGTTCATCGTCAGTATCTCCACTGCTTAGAACAGTGCCTGGCCCCAGAGGTGCTCAGTCAGCAAATGTCACCTAAACAAATTCCCTCAACTATCCAAGAAAGTAACTCAATTAGCATAGTGTCTGGTGGTAGTAAACGCTTAGTAAATGGTGGCTATTGTGTTTTTATTACATTCTTTTGGGACAGAAAAATTACCTGGCCCCTAGAATTTGATGTTCTTTCCTGGCCCAGCAAAACAATTTGGTTCTTCCCAATTTGGTTCTTCTCACTCTAATCCTAGAATAAAGTTCCCCCCGAAGCCCAATAACTGTACCCTACCCACCCTCAGCCCCAGTCCCAACATCTCTGTGTATGAGCAATGTGGGCTTAGTGCTAAGATCCACCATCTCCTTTGAAGATGCTGGGTGAAAAATCCCCACACGCTTGGCCTTAACTTTCTTTGTTCACTTTGTTTGCTTTGAAGACCTTAACGCAGTATCGGGAAATCAATAAGCAAGGCCGCTGCTGACCCCGTATGTGTCTCCTTGATTCTCCGGGAGGCCTGGCTTACTCCAATGCACTGATAAGTCATGAAGTACCCAACTCTGTCTGCAAATTAAGGTCCTTGTAAGTAATCAAGGAACACCGCGTTTAGTGTGCCGTGGATTTTCCATTGTGAGTGTCATTAGATGAAACAAAAGAGCACAATGCAGGTTTGCATAATGAACAAGCCTTAAGTTAGGTTTGCCGTGATAGGGTTATCAGTCATCACACAAATGAATTATTTAGGAAAGCACTTTTTACAGTGGCTTTTCATTTAAGTTTTGTCCCTTGATGTATGTGTATAAAGATGACGAATTCATTGGACACTGCTGTTGTACTTGTGCATCTATCACTATCAGACCTTTTTTTGTAATTGGTTTATTAATTATAGCGTCTTAATGATCTGTTTAAAATAAATAAACCATTTGCACAATTTCAAAGGTATTTTGTGAGGATCAGCTGATATTAAAATAGCACCAGCCTCATGTGCTTTTTCAGCAAGTGACCTAATTAGT